CGCAGCGCCCGCCGGCGGGGTTCCTCGGGCGGCGGGTGGGATCGCGCGGGCTCCGAGCGCCATCGTGTGTCGGCCGCGGTCGCGGCTCCCTTCCGCCACCACAGCCGCGTTGTCAAGTCAGAGGGAGACCTTAAGTCTTTAGCAACCAAAACCATTTAAGTAGGAATGAAGTGTAAGTGGCCTAATCAGGTGCCTGTGTGGAAGCGCGCTCCTCGTGAATTTGAAGTGAGTTGTGTCAACTGAACCCTGTTATTCATGTCCCATATTCTTTGAAAAAAACAGAAAACTGACAGGTTTGCAGTCAATTTACTGTCTTTCCTTTCCCTTCTTTCTTCTTTTGCTGTCTCTCGTCTCCATCCTGCATTTGCTTTCCTCTCATCTCTGCTTACGCCTGTTCCCTCCGAATAGCCCACCCGCACGTTTACAGCCTGTCATCTTGGCGTTTGTTCCGTATTCATCGATTGTTTGTATTCGCATTCGGTTGGGGCTGATGTGCCGCGCTTCTCTTGCAGCCTACATGAAGCGGCGGCACAGCTCCGTGAGCGACAGTCAGTCCTGTGAGTCCTCGTCGGCTGGCATAGACGACGGCAAGGGACCCACCCCGCAGCCGCAGCACCAGCTGAAGAAACCCCGCGTCGTGCTGGCCCCGGAGGAGAAGGAAGCTCTGAAACGAGCCTACCAGCAAAAGCCATACCCATCACCAAAAACCATTGAGGAACTCGCCACGCAGCTCAACTTGAAAACCAGCACCGTGATCAACTGGTTCCACAATTACAGGTACAGGTCGCTCCCGAGCTCCGCCGGGAGCCCTACTCATGAAGCGTTTGTTTTATTTGCTTTGGCAGGGGGCTGCGCTCCTTCAGCAGGCTCTATCTGCTTCAGCCGCCGTTGCGCAGTTGTACAAAATGAACCGTTTGGCCAGCAGGGAGGTTTTAACTAACAGTAATGCTATAGACTAATTTTAAGTCGTCCCTGAGGAATAGAAGTATTCACATATTGATGTAAGTGGTGCTTTGGAGCAGCAAGTCTTGCTTTTGGTGTGGGCCTAAGACTAAAAATTGATCTGAAAGTCCACTGTCATGTTAAATATTTATCATTCCCGTTGCAGTAAGCAACACTGGTCTTTTTTACATGCATATGCACGCACGTATGTGTAAAATATGTTATGCCTGGGCCACTTGGTGGCCTTGGGCCAGTGAGCTCTGAAAACAGGGAAAACCATATGCTGTATCTCTGAGAAGTTCTGCACAGTCACAGGGGGCAGAGAACTGATAACCCTGAAGTCACATGTGGATAGAGATTTATTTAATTATCATGATTAAACCATTGAGTCATACTGAAATGAAATAAGATTTTGATCTGTTTAGTTCCTTTCTGGTATTAGAAGGAAGCTTCCCAACAACTGCACAGCTGAAGTAGGTTTTGGCATAAAGACACCAATAAAAATAAACAATGGTGGAATGGCATGTAAGAATTAGAAAATAACATATTTTTGACTCTGCTTGGGATTGGATGTCTTAATTAGTTCAGTAGACTTTTCTCCAAGAGATCTCTGCTAGTGTATATTGAACAGGTACAGTTAAGATACCAGATTTAAAACCATTGTGCTCCTTCACTTGGCGCCAGTAATGTTCCTAATTACCATAACGATTGATTGTTAAACTTGTTTGTTTTTGGAAAGCTGCTAACATTAAAAGGGTATTTCCACTTTAGCCCTTCTCAACTTTTAACAGGGAAGTTACTGAAGCAGAAGAGGCACAGACTAAGGAGGTGTCTCAGAACTATTACGTACAATAGCAAAATAACGTGTTAAACAATGGAAAACTTTTAAATTATAACCAATGCAGTATATTTACACTGGTTTTCACTGACTTGAATTTGCTACCAAAGCAGTCTCTTTCATTGTTTAGAGTTCTCCAAATACAGACCTCTCTTGCAGTTCCCACTTACAGGCAATTATACACAAGTTGGAGGAGTGCCTATAAAAATACGTTCCCTTCGGCCTGACAGCAGAATGTGCTGTTCTCACTTACGCAGCCGAAAGAGGGAACACTGGTGGCATGTGTCATCTTCCTCATTACCGTGCCATCCCCTGTTTAGGCGTGCTATGAGAAAGCGTGGCAAGTCATGATTGATCAGCGTGTTTAGCCACACCAAGCTATACACTAATGTAGACTAGCTGCTGACAGTTGTATACAAAATAGAAAATGTATAAACAAGGTGCTATAAGCTGGTGGGCAGCACAGGCCTGGTAGCACTAAGTGATCTGGGCCTGCTCCCAGATGCGCTGCTGAGTCTGCAGGATCTCCAAGAGCTGTTTCCAGCTTGTTGGAGCCCGGAGCAGCTCTGAGTCGTTGCCATCACTGAAAAATCAAACAATGTGACTGTTCTTTTCTGCAGTGCATGAAGTTTCATAACTTTCATGCCTGAATTATGCTTAAATTCTTAGCAGGACATCGCTAGAGAGGTACAAGTTTCATGTACTGTTAGGGGAACAGGGTCTGACCCAGTGTTCCCGTAGCCCGGTATACCATCTCTGATGGTCGTCCCTGGCAGATGCCGAAGGAACGGTCTGTTCTGTGTTGCTTTAGGGCATTCGGTGATGCTTTTGTCGATATGCCTTTTTAGCTTCCAGATGTCTTTGGCTTAGGGCTTTTCTGAGCCAGATGTTGTATCCATATTGTGTTCAGTAATCCATGATGGACTTCCCTTCCTTGAATTTTTCTAACTGCTTGTTGACTCCATTTATATTTTTGACCTCCACAACATCCTGTGACAAGGAGGTCCCAGCTCAGCAATGTGCTTTGTCAAATAGTGCTTTCCTTTGCTGTTGGAAACCTGCTGGGTGATGATTTCATTGGGTGTTCTTCAGTTCATATATTATAAGACATGAACTGTCTTTCCCCTGTTCATCTTCTCCAGGCCACACTTAATTTTATTTCTCGCTGTTATATTCGCCCTCAGCCATTTCTCCTCAAAGCTGAAGAGTCTTCATACAGGAGCAGTTCCCCATCTCGGAGCTATTTATTCTTCAATATAATTTTTTCTTCAAAGTAACTTCCCATGAGATAGGGTGCAGGTTTGGAAAAGTTTGTCTTCCTACATATAGGCAATCTTAAAACATCAGAGAGAGATTATATCTTGGAAAGAGCCCAGTTTCAAAAGAAAATCCCTTGTGGCCTTTATTTCAAGTATGTAGTAGTTTGTTGCCATGCTATCTGCTTTCTTAGTACAGAGCCAGTACATTTCGAAACACTTCTTTCTCCTTCCTCCCTCTTCTCCGCCCCTAAAATTGTGCTGTTTCTTTGGATGCTATCTCTTGGGAATCCTGTTGCAGTGATGCTTTTCCTTTGGGATTCAGCCTCAACCTCACTTTCCAAAGGTGGTTGCTACATTAGAATCCACCTTTTTACCCACCATATGCGAAGCGTGCACTAGCATTTATTTGACAAAGCAAAAGAAACTTTAAAAAATCCTCAGCTGGAGAAGAAATAATTCACTTGGGAATATAAATAGGCATCAAGGATTTTGCAGTGTCTGCAAACTTGGCCCAGTCTTTTGCTTTGCATCTACACTGATTGCAGAGTTCTGGGAACATAAAAATAAGAATGTACATTAAATTGCACTTCTTTGCATGAGTAAAGCACTCAGAGAATCCATCAGAGTTTGAGGCTCTGTTGTCTGTACAAAAGAGCAGGAGAAAGGAATTGTTATCCCACATCAGATGCGGAAACTCTACACAGAGACTTGGTAAGCTCATAGAGATATCACTGTAGTGGCACTGGGAATTAAACCCGGCTTTCTGGAATTACAATCCAGTGCTCTTGTACCCTAAACTTCATTGCTCTTATTCTGGACTTATTTTTCAGTGAACTGTAGCATTCTACTTGTTTAGATGTGTTGCTGGAGTTGTGTAAAGGCTTGAACAGTGAACTCCAACATATACCCCTGGGGAGATCTGATATTTTGAGTTCTGCTGCTGAGTGCCTTCAGGACGTGTTGATGCAGTGGTCAACATCTTCCTCCGAGAGGCGCGCTCCCTTGAATTCCCTAACCACTGTCACCAAGTCTTCTTTGCTCTGGGGATTTAGTTGCTACATGAATCAGGAGACAGATTAGATTCCAGGAGCAATACATTCAGTGTGAAGTCCAGGGATTTCCACTGGCATCAAACCTGTTTTCTGTAGAGCTGTGGTCAGATATTCGATAAGCTGGAATTGCAGTATTTTTAAAAGCCATTCAGGCACGAAACTCCTACCTGTTTCCTCCCCTGACTTGGGGAATGTTGCAGAAGCAGTGTGTTCTGGATCAATGTCCATGCAGGGAGATTATGGGCATAAATAGAGCCTGATAATCGATGCTGCAGTATGCGTGCTATTTATGTTAATAGAAAATTAATGTTAGCACCTGTGGTCTTCTGTTAGATGAATAATATTCTCCCAGGGAAAAGCACAGACCCCCTAAATCCTTCGAAAGTGCAGAGTCAGCAATTACTGCTGAACTACTCTGTTACATTTGAAGTAAGTCAATAATATCATTAGCTCCAAATACAGTATTCTGGTGGTGTTCTGCTTTTATCCTGCAGTTTTCCATCACGTGCTAGCTTTTGCAGCAACTCCAGGGGAAAATGAAAATTCCTTGTAGGCACTGACTGGTGTTAGGACAGCGTTTCATTTGCAATTTGGAAGACCCTGAACAGTTCTCCCTTGTTAAAACCAATAGTGTTTTCTTTGTTCTCAAAGATACACTTTTGCTAAACTCTTCCTGCGTCTGTAGTGTCTTTCCTGACCATAGGTTATTGAAGCTCCATCTTGGTCGCAAATTAGGATCTGTGCAGTGGTCCTAAATGGTCCTACAGGCAGAGCGGTAGAGAGAAGTGGTTGACGCAGACCCTAAGATTTTTTTCAAGAACTATTCGAGTATGCTTGTTAGGACTGTGGAAACTGCTAAGCAGAGAAGGAAGGGGGAGGAAAGACCCAAGTTAAATGACATAGGCAGTATGTTGTTTGGGGATTATTACATGCTTCGTGTAATAGGAAGCACAAGGTGGAACACGGGGCAATTTTAACCACACGTGAAGTGCATTAATTCCCTTGCAATGCACTGGTTGCCATGTCACTATTAATGTTCTGAAATCGATTTTTTAAATAAGAAAATAAGGCAGAAGTCAGACTAGCTCACAGACTGACAAGCTGTCAAAAGGCTGCGCTTCCCTAGAGCAGATTCAGAATGATAGACTTTGTTCTCATTGCAGTTTCTTTGTGGTGGATTTTTTCCTTCCAGATTTTTTCCCTGTATGTTTTTTGTCTAGACAAACCATGGCTCCTTTTCAGCAGAAATCTGCATTCCCGCCTGTATTTACAAGCTGTTTTCCTGTGGATACTAAAATTGTGTTCACGTTTTAAAATCATCCCTTCTGTGGTACAGTATATTCTAAAGTTTGACGTTCCTGACGTCGACGTTTCAGGGCGAGTGGGAGACTGCAGAGCCTTTTCATCTCTCTCCCTTAAACCATCTCGAGGGCTGTTGACATTCAGCATAGAAGTATACATGTTACTTAAAATTTTAAAGTGTGAAAAAGGAAAAATGATTTCTCCTTGCTTTCCATTAGTTGTTTTAGTACAATTTAGTTATCTGGGTAAAGGTTATATATTTGCTTTATTTCCTAGTGTCAGCAGTGGTTATTAGGATGGACAGTCATAGGAAGTCAGATTGACAATAAATATGCAAAGTACTGGTTGAATTCAGATGGATCAATCTCAAAATTAAGCGTTGCCGTATAATGAATATTTGCCTGAGTTATTAAAGGTGGTATTCTGCTCAAAATCCCAGAAACAGCCAACCTTCCTCCATACTGCACTGTGGAAGAGTTCCTACGTTCATCTGGATTTTGCAGGCTGGGTTCTTTCTAGCACAAGAGGCTTAAAAGCACGTGTGTGGGGCTTGGGAAAATGAAATTAAGGGCATCTTGACGATGCCTCTTTAGCCAGTCCTTTGAATTTGAGTGTGTGAACACTTCCGCTGCCCCGGTTTGGCACATCCATCCCGTAGCCAAGGAAAGCTGGCATAGTATGAAAGGTCGTTTTTTAATTTTCCTTGTCAGTACTGCGGTGACAGCCTATATCATGTCGAGTGACCAGCAGCAGACTTACCCTTCCTTTCCTGTGTCTCGTAGATCTCGCATCCGTCGAGAGCTGTTCATTGAAGAAATCCAAGCGGGAAGTCAGAGCCAGGCTGGGGCGAGCGATTCTCCTTCGGCTCGAAGCAACAGGGCGGCGCACAGCTCGGAGGGGGACAGCTGTGACGGCGTGGACGCCGAAGGCCCACCTGAAGGGAAGCCGAGCGGCCCGGAGGCGGATGAGTACAGCAATGCAACCACAAAGTCTCAGGGAGGGCCAGCAGAGTCGGCTTTCGAAGCGGGGGAAGAGGCACTGCAAGGCGCCAGGTCTTCAGAGAAGAGCGAGTCATTCCACTTGGGAATGGAGAGCCTGGAGGATACTGATGACGAGGGCAGGCTCAAAGCGCCGCGGCAAAGCTCTCCACCAGGATCTCAGCGTTCAGGAGAAAGTCTGGAGACACTGCCAAACTCTGCCACGGAAGGGGATGCCTCTACCTCAGCTGCCTCCACCTCAGTCCTTACAGGGGAGAGCTCCTACAAGCCGAAAGAAAGTTCGGAGAAAATTCCCAGTGTGCCAAGTACGAGCTCGACGTTGGCCGCAGGCTCGCAGAAAGCCAACTCGATTCAGAGTTTGTTCAGCTTCTCGGAGGCGGCGAGCTCCAAGAACACGCGAGACAACTCCTTGAGGAAAAAGAAAGCCGCAAACTTGAACAACATAATCCACCGCTTGGAGAAGGCCGCTAGTCGAGAAGAGGCCGTCGAGTGGGAGTTTTGAGATTAAACTCACCCAACTCTAGAGAGCTGGGCAAGTTAAACTGGACCTCTACTGGTTTTATTGTGTTGCGCACTTACCGCCCTGCGGGCCACAGGGCAAAAACGCCATAGGCCAAGGTGCATATAGAAAACAAAAAAAAAGGAGCGTTAAGCCCAATTTATGTTTGTGTTTTCGAGGAAGAAAACTGAAATGTGTAGTCAAGCTTTTTTGTACCCTGAAGTGTTTTTATTATTGCCCTAAGTGATTTCCACAGTTTCTGGAATAACTCATACAGCTTTGCCTTGTGCCCTCCTCTTTGGTGTGGGCTTTAAAAAAACAAAAACGTAAAAAAAAAAAAAAATCGAACCCACATATTAAAAGGGGGCTTTTTATCTGCCATCTAATGGCTACAGAGCGATAATACACTATTATCTTCTTAAACCAGGAAAAAAGGGGAGATTTTTCAAAAAAAAAAAGAAAAAAAAAAGAAAGTTTTTTGTAGCTGTTCAGTTGCCACTAAGAGATTGCACAGTCAACCGACTCTAAACACACTAGTTTGGATTCCTACATATTTTCAAGAAAAGAAAAGAATCTTGTTGTTTGAAACTTTGAATTAAAAAGAAAAAAAACACATTTACTCCACATATTTTTTAACAAAACAAAAAAAAAAGTCACATCAGGAAAATATCTTAATTTGTGGTAGCTGACTTAGTGTTTTCTTGTAAGTGAAATAGAATATTGACACGTAGTGCACATTGTTTCATAGCTTTAACTGATTCTGGTCTTTTGCAGATCAGAATTTGTTTAATACACTCCATTTTAGGCCAAATCAGGACAAAAAAAAAAATCTGAATCTAGGTATTTTATAATCTGCTTTTTAACCTCTAACCACAGAGCACGCTGATCAGACCTCATATCTGGGAGGTTTGGGAGACAACTTAGAACCGCCTGTACTTGATCATTTCTCTCGGTTTGTCGGTGTACAGAATTTTCTCTCGTTAAAGACAGATAGCTCAAAAAAACGTTGGCCAGTAACATTTCAGCCTGCTACTTCGGGGACATAGTCTGTAACCCGAAGTGTCGAACTTAACCTGGAGTCAATTAAAGTATAGTTTATGTGTACGCTTGCTGTCACACACCACTAAGAGGAGACTGGAGCTGCCGCAGATAGAGAATTTTTCCTGCTGTGGGTGGCCATTTACTGACTCTCTTCCCACCACAAGCACTGATTTTAAATATGTTTTAGTTGTGGGAAGCTCATTTTTGTGTGGAAAAAGAGTACGTGGCCGTGACCAGCCGGGCTCTTACCAAGACGTTACGTAGCCCAAACTCCAAACCAAAACGTTCGCGCTCTCGAGTCCCGGTCTCGACTATACTGCCCTGCAGAAATCCAGCCTTTTCCCATTATTTTATGCACAAGTTAGGGCTGATCAAAGTACAAATCAAATTCTAACTTGTCTCTAACTCCTCCTGTTGTCTATATGTATATGCGTGAGCATAGAGGTGCGTGGAAGGATGTGTGTGCGTGAGTGTGTGCGTGCAATTTTATACGTCTGTGTATTTTCTTACGTACTTGTGCACACATAGAGTGCATTACTGCCACCTTTTTTCAATAAGCTGTTTTATCAGTTATGGCTTCTACAAGTTTGCTAATTTAGACTCCTTTATTGCCATATCTTTAAAACTAACAATAGATGATTTCGGAATATATATATATATATAAATATATATATATATAATTTTTTTTTGCTTATTTATAGGTGCTGTATTTTATGATCTGATTGTTAGGAAGGGATGAAAGGGGGCAAATATTCTTTAGAGGGATAGACTGCCGGCAGTATTGGGTATAATTTACAAGATGTAGTTGTCATACTGTATATTATTGATTGAAGACTTTTTGACCGTATTGTGTATCATTGAACTTTTGTCTTAGGTCAGCATCTTTTTGATGACACTTTAATGGTGCATTCATTACTTCTTAAGTTTAATTAATATTACTTTTCTGATTTTGGGGGAGGGAGGGTTGGGGAGAGGCGTTCCGACTTTAAAGGTATGTTCCCAATATTACACCTCAGTGTGCTTGTATTAATTCATTAGTAGGATTTTTGACTGTAAGATGTGAAACCACATTTCTTGCATGATGTTTTTAGAACTTATGTATTTCATTTACAGTCTCTTAACATGCAACAGCAGCACTTAGCGCAAGTTTTTCACAAATTAAGAATCAGTACACTAAAACCAATCCTTTTCATGATTGAGAGAAGAAGGCTCTAGGAGGCTGAAAGGCAGGGATTTATTTCCTATTTTTACCGTTAGTTGTTTCCGGATACCTCCTTGGGTATCTGGGGACTTGTGATGCAAGACTAAAATTGAGAAACAGAGAGAGCAACTGCCCCTTTCTGTGACGAGCTGAGGAGACGATTTGTCATAACAAACCCCGGTAGATGAGCGCGCTCGCTGGAAGCAGTTACGGCGGCTTCTTCTCTGGGACAGAGTTAGTCTGGGAGAACGGCTAGCAAGGAAAATAGCGTGGCGAATCCAAGTGTTACCTCTCTGCGTCCGTACAGCGTTCCGGTTTGACTTACAAAGCACAGTTCCACCTATAAATCACGTCCTGGTCAAAATACACATACCTTAATACAAGTCATAGCAAGATGTGTCTTCAGCTAAGAAGCAGCATTTCTGACTAGAAGACCCAGATATTTTCTTAACGTTCTTTTTTTCTTTTTTTGTTGTTCGGTTCAGGTGGAGTTTATGTTGTTAATTCTAGGCAATGCGTTTGCCACTCTTTCTGCTGTCCTTTTTTGCTAATTTGAGATCCAGGTGCTTGATGGAATGAAGTGGTTATATTCTTCTTTCTGGATAGTGGTTTTCTTCTGGTTTATGATTTTTTTTTTTCAATTAATACTCCCCAAACTATTCTCGTGCCTGTGTCTATACGATTGCATTCCATAATGCTTACCGAGAGCTCTGGCTGCATAGCAGAACAGCAGAACTGTATTTGCAGGACGAACACAAATGCAGCATTTAAGGTCAATCTCTCTTCTTAATAAGCAATACGTAAGTGCCTTGAAACTTATATCTTTTCTTCTGTTTGTTGTTGTGTTGCTTTTCAGGTTTCCGCTAGCTCTTTAGAATTCTTTAGCGTCTGCCCAGTTTTTAATACTATAACAGTTTTCAAAAAGCATAGCTGTAGCTTGCCCTAGAGGAAATGTTTCCTTTATAACACTAACTGTTAATTCTAAGCTCCATTATTACATTTGAATCGTGTAATTTTGCTAGATAAAGACAGCATTCGTAAGTCAGAAGTCACTCCGTCCTGCCAAGGGTCGTCACTGGTATCGATTATGAAATTAATCAAATAAAATGCTGTCAGTATTTCTTGTATTTTTGGCACTTTATTAATGGCTTAGCTCTTGTTGTTGTTTCGTATTTAATGATCTGCGTTGAATGTGGATGAGACGGCTAAGGTGCTCTTGCAGTGACCCCGGCCCCCCAGCTGGGAGTCTCCTTGGCGTTCCTTAGTCCCCGCCGGCGTTAGGGCACGGGCAGACGTGCGCTCGCAGATCGTATAGCTAACGTTATGTTCCCAGCTGTTTCTTACCGATCTTTAGCCAAGGTTACAGCTGCTCTTCTCTTTCAGTGGAAAGTAAAACAGATTAGCTTAACCTGCTGCTGAGATTCTCCTTTTGGAGATGAGCTACCTAGTAGCTTTCCAACCTGGCAAAGACCTCCCTGGTTTAGAGACGCGACTCCAGCAAGGTTGAAAGCTTTTAGCTGTATTTCTAATCGAGTGTGGCATTTGAAAGTAACACTTTCAGGAATAACTTTTTTACTTGATTAAAAGAAAAGAAAAAAAAAAAAGTTAGAGGAGAAGAAATTCCAAAGAGTGACCTTATGGCTTTTTACCCTCTTCAGTCACTGATTAAAGGGGAAGGTGAAAGGCTGTGAGGCTCTGTGATGGGATGGGCTAAGCTCTCGGGGAGTCATTTTGTGAGCGCACGACGTGGACGTAGAGCACTCGCTGAAGACTTTTCTTTTCCTGATAGATAAAAGTACAGATAGACTCTGACTTTACAGGTTCTCAGAAAAACTCTTTTTTTTTTCCTTGAGGTTCTTTGAAAGCATTTTTATTTTCTTTCTGATCCCAGTTCCTTGCTCTTACTAAAGCAGCGGAGGAAGGGCCTAGGCTATTTTGACATAAGTACTTTTATACTGCAGTTAAAATTGTCATTTTTCTTTCTGGTTGGTTAGGGAAGAGAAAAAGCATAATACTTTGTTTAGCTGAAAGCAAGTGAAGAGTATCCCTTGGCAGAGGGCAGATACGATAGGACTGTCGGCACACTTCCATTTTGGAGGATACAGATTTCAGCCAACAGAATGGCACATTCTCCATGGCAGAAATGCTTTTAATTACAGTTGCTGTTGGTGCCATAGAATTTCACCATTTCATTTAATTCAACTATAAAATGTATATAAATAGAGCCACACTTTAAGGGAACCTATATCGGTGCAGTCTGCCCATATCATGAATTAGTGGGTCCTTTAACAATAAACTCTTCACTGTAATAAGAAAGATATATCTTAGAGTTAAACAGAAAAAAAAAATGTGTGCCTTTCTCATTAGTTAAGAGATCTCTGCATTATTTTTATGCAACCTTTCCCTGCGGGAATGGTGCAGAGAGGGGGTTAATGAACACTACGGAAGTCTATGCAATATGCTCTGATCCAATTACTGAAAAGTTACTGTTTTCAGTCCTTTACCAGTAGAAGTAGTAAGCCAGAGAAGTGCATCGTTCTGGTGATAACTCAAATTCTGAAGCTGATTAATTTCCGTAAAATAGAGTTGAGGGGAATTGTGACACACTAATGTAATGAAATAATGGAAGATGCTACCAGTGATCGCAGTCCCCACTAGCACAGTTGCAGTCAGGGGTCTGTCATTTGCCATCATAAAATTACTACTTCCAAGTAGTTGTAGAACTTACATGAAATAAAAATGCTCTTGGTGAAAACAGGGCAGGTTAGAAACGAAAAAACCTTTTGACCTGTATAAATTACGAGAATACACAAAAGAAAGTAATTGGGTTTGGACACTTCTTTGCACTTAAATCCAAAACAGTTTCTTTATTTAAACTGCAACATTGCAG